CTCTCTCTGCAGGTTCTGCCTTTACCCTGGACTGTCCGAGGACCTGGTGGGCACACACCCGCCCGGGGCACACAGCCTGGTCGCCGTATCTGTAGGTGAGATGGTGGTGGGGAGTGAGGTGCCCTCTGTTCTGCCCCCCCAAGGGGTCCCCAGGGGCTCATCGGTGCCTGACACCAGTCCCTCGAGCCATGTCGCGAGCAGCGATGTCTCAGGCACCCCAGACAATCATCCTATTCTTGGCAAAGGACAGTGGCTCCTTTCTGTCCCACGGCACCCACGGCCGGGAGGTACTGGGCACCAGGCTGCTTGCCATCATCCTGACGAGGCGGCCAGGGCTGGGGGCATCCCAAAAGCGCCCAGGATAGGGGGTTGATGCAGGTCCCCCCAGAGCCTCAAGCTAAGTGCTGGTGTGGAAGCCAGGGGCTTTGAATCCTCCAGCTGTGTGAAGCCTTCCCCTTCTACCCCTTTGTCCTCTTCTTGCAGGTCTATCACCAGCCCTGTGGTCAGTGCTAACAGGCTTCCCAGCAGGGCTACAGATCAGCAGGTCTGAGTATCTAAAACACCACCGTGGAGTTGGCTTGGTGGCAGTAAATCCTGCAGCTTTTAAGGGTTTCAGGCTGAAAGGGATCCAATCCTGGCATGGTAACGTGCATGAGGCTCCGCATGCTGCCTTTGTTTTCACCCTTCTCTGGGAACAGATCCAGGTGATCAGTTAGTTAGTGCCTCTACTTACGAGCACGTTTTACAGAGAGATTGCAGGAGGAACCCAAACTACACTAATTTCCTTCTCTTGCTGTGTGTGATCTTGCTCTCACCACTCACACATGGCTGTGGCTGTGGCCATCACTTCCCCAGAGGGGCTGCCCAGCCCAGTCAGGTGCAGAGCCTGCTGCTGGGGGATCCCTGTGGCACAGCCCTTCCTGGCCTCCTTCTTTGCTCACAGCCTCTCTAATCCCAGGTTATTTCCTTGAAGACTTTGTGGACATGTTGTGCAATCAGAAACTTCACCAATCCTGGGAGCTGCTCTTCCATCACTCTGTGGTGAGTCCACCGGCCGCTCTCTGAGGGACAGACCCTGGCACTTGTACCACCAGGGAGGCTGGGGCTGGGGGACATGAGTGAGGCTCCTGCTCTTGCTAGTGTGGGTGTTTGCCATCTGTCGCAAAATCTGCCTGGTTTTTCTGCCTCGGGAAAGGAACACAGGCAGCAGGGCTTGGAACTCTTCCTGGTCCTGCAGGACCTATGTAATCTTCGAGGGTCTGCAGAAAGGCACTCAGAGATGGGGTAGGAAAAAAAGCAGGTGTGCACAGAATAAAGAGGGAGTAGGGCTGGGTGTCTGATCCGTAACAGTGGCACAGACAGGCAGCAGAACAGGGATGCCCCCCAGCAGAGGCAAGCAACTCAGCTCCTGGCTGCTCTCAGCCACTGGAGCATTTTGCCGGGAAAGTCTCACACAGCCTCTTTCCTCCTCCCGCTCCCCAGGCTGCTTTCCTCTTGTTTGGGTCAGAGTTGTGGCCACAGGGCTGAGTGGCTGAAGCAGCTGTGGTGCAGGGGCCCCACACCCATGCCCTCTGCCTGCCTTGCCTCCCCTCAGCATGGGTTTCTCTTTGAGTGTTTCCAATGTCTGGATGCTGGGGCTTCGGGGACGCTGCAGGGCAGGGGGCTGGCACAGCCTGGACCTGAGGAGCAGAGATGCTGTGGGTACAGGAGAGGCACAGGGGTCTGCAGGGCCTGGGCACAGGGGACAGGGACAGCATTGGGACCCACCTGGCATGAGACAGTAGAGGTGATGATCAGACCTGCTGTCTTGCAGACCCCAGCAAGCCCTGCGGCTTTGCTGCTGCTGCTGTTGGCGAGTCAAAAGGTCATCTCCACAATAGAGCTAATTCAGACCAAGACAGTGGCTTAATGAGCAGGGAGCAGGTAATCTCATTAAAGAGCCAATACAGAGAACAGCATTAATGGTATAAACTGAAGAAAGGAGTGAGTGTGCTGAAGTGCAGGCAGGCAGAACCTGTCCCCCCACCTGGCAGGAGCTGTACCCTCTCTGCCCCCAACAGCCCTGTCCTGTGCTGCATCACCCAGCAGCCCCAGGGTGCTTCAGGCCAGGCTGGGTCATCCCACGAGGCTCTCTCATGCATCAAAGCCACTTAATCCCTGCAGCGTGCCCGATCTGGGGAGAATCCCTGAACCAGCAGCAACCGTAGCCCTGGGCTACATATCTCCTGTCCTGCCCTGTTCAGCCATTCACTGTGCGCAGAAAAACCCGCGGGGTGACAACCAACTGTATTCCCAGGCCACAAAAGCAGGGTTAGGTCTGGCTGCTTTGTCTCCTCTAGCAGCCCAGAGTTTATAAAAGTGTTATCCTCTCCTCCCCACTGGAAAAAAACAAACACCCGTTCAGGTTTCATGCAGTGGCAGGGAGGCTTTATCTCATGCCCGCGGTTGCAGCACTGGCTGGAGGCTGCAATGCTGCTGAGTTATGTGTGGGGTGATGACCAGCGGTTTGGCACTGGTGTGATAACCACTTCCACTTCTGCTCCCCGCTGCAACCAAGCATGGAGGACTCCGGCTTGCAGCAGCTGAGAGCAGCCAGCTCCTGGCCTCAGCCTCTCTTCTTCCTCCTTTCCAGGTGATTGTCTGCTTTGGTATTGCCGTGCTGCTCCATCAGTACGTTGGCTTTGCCCTTGTGGCTTTACTGGTGGAGATTAACTCCATCTTCCTCCATCTGCGGCAGATCCTGCTCATGGCCAACCTGGTGCACACCACCTGCTACCGCCTCAACAGCGTCGTCAACCTGGGCACCTACGTGGTGTTTCGCATCGCCACACTGGCCTGGATGACTCGCTGGCTCTTCCTCAATCGGCAGAACGTGCCCCCGGCAGCGTACGCTGTAGGTACGGTGGGCATGGCAATCATGACACCCATGAACATCATCCTCTTCTACCGCCTGCTGCGTAGTGACTTCTTCAAGCCCAGCCAGGATGTGCGACAGGAGAAGGAGCAATAGCCCACCTCCCCACAGGGTCCGGGGGACGATCAGCTCCCCCTTCCACCAGCCTGTGAAGGACAGCAAAATGCAGTGAGCAGGGAATGTGAATATTTCAGTACCTTGTGTGGAGGGTCCACACTAACAAAGCATCTGGGCTTTTCTTGTGGCTGCAGATCTTGGGCCTGCACAGCAGAGAAGGTGCTCATGGACCAGGCACTGGGGCTCTGCTCCCCCCACACCTTTGGATGACGCGGTGGGATAACCAGGAGCTGCTCAGAGAAGCCTCGACAGCTCTTGCAGCTCCTTAAGGCCCGCTGAGATGAGAAGGGAGCAGAACATTGTTTTCCCCACTGTTTTTCCAGACATCCAAACATGACAGTGTGTTTTTAACCTCCTCTGAGCCACAGCATCCTATCAGCCAGGAGACACCGCACTCAGCCCCACGTTCTCTGTGGCAATTCCCATGAGAGCACCACCAGGCAAGAGCGGCTCCAAGGCTTCACCTTCGAGGTCAGGGCCAATAAAAGCCAAATCCTGCACTCACGAGTCCTCCCCAAGGAGATTGTCCCAGGTGGGTGATGGAGGGAGAGGATGAGACCTGTCTGAGTGGGATGCTGCCCACTGCAGGGTCCAGCTCGAGGGCAGAGCACTGGTGACACAACACTGTGCTTGGGGATGGGCAGCCAACTTCTCTGACAACCAGAGCTTTTTCCAGGCTATTTTGTTCTCAGATATGCTAAATATCCATAAATGAGTGTGGGAGGGTGTGAGTCGCTGGCTGGGATGATGCTGTACGGTGGTCACTTCCCACAGAGGTGGAGTCGGCAGGCATAGGCATGTATTAGGATTTAGGCGTCTAATAGGAATGAAAAGTTCTGCTGCAGAGCCCAGTGTAACGCTCTTACCCAGCAGCAAGAGCTCTTACTAACATGAGCTTTTAATAAATGGCTGCAAATGAAATGGCTTGAGGGGAAGGGACTTAGAGGGAAAAAGGGACTCAGCATCCCAGCCTGTTCCAGGTGTGTCAGTGCTTAGCACGGTGCTGCTTATCCTACGTCTCCCTGCCACGGAGTGAAAATACACTGTACAGTGGTACAGCCTACCTCTCGTGGGGTTTTTTTGCTCCCCTCTCCTTCTGTGGAGGAAGATGAAGGTTTCTCCTGTTCCTGCTTATGCTCTCCCGCCCTC